ACCTCAGTTCTTCCTCTACCGAGTGGCTCATGGTGTCGCCCTGGGGGGAAAATGTGGAGCATAGCGTCTGCAGTTCTCTTTGGCGACGCACAGTTTTTGCCCAGGGGACAAGGGGGATAAAAAATGGGGTCAGCAACTTATCATACCCTCAGTTTCTCTTTCTTGTCGCCGTTGGCCCCTTTTCCATCTCACCCTAGACAGCCATTAATTACTTAACACAGCTCGCATAATCTTTCCCTCATTCTTTCTCTGCCCGTGTCACGGGTAATTTCCTAAGTATGGATAATGTCAGTAATAATCTTGCTGTGTGGATAATGACTAGAAATAATTTTTTTGACGTAAAAATACGTCTACCATCTCATCCAAAAGAGTTTGCTTGGAATTCTCAGGACATTCTTCTTCGGCAGGTTTTCATCATGAGCTGATATTGGAATGTCAAGAAGCGAGCGATGTTCTTGCTTTTTGAATGATGATACTGTAAAAAATATTTTCTCTCATTTGGCTCCATCCGAAAACCGTTAACAGTAGCCAGTGTATTATAATTACTATAATGCTCAATTTGAATCATTCACTTCAATTGACAGTTTAAACACTCTCTTCGCAAAAATGAGAAGGATAGGTGAATCCGGGTTCGTAATAGAAATGATGTGCGTCATAGAATCCTTCTTGAATTGCAGTTGTCCACGATCTCTTTTGAATTTAACTGTGCTTTTTGCGGTCTGTAAAATCCGAAAAGTTCCGGAATTCCGTACTAGTTCCGGGAAATGAAAGCACTTTTGATAAATTTTACACCACGTGCACGTATATATTCTGCAATACTAAGGAAGAACGCCGTATGAACCTTTAGGCGTTCCCAGACTTCCTTTGATAAAACAGGAATTTCCTGGTAAAATTATGAATATTTATCTTCAAATTTTTCAGACAGTTTTGCTCATAATTTTACCGAAAAGTCCTAAAAATTTCGATAAAAAATATTCACAAGTTCCCTAAAAAACGAACATTTTATCGGTGGAAATCTGACAACTCTCGGACGTTCGTACGGCGTTCTTCCTTAGCACGGCAGTATTGCCACGAGATTACCTTAATTTGCAGCGCGAGAACTGCAAACATGTCGGGGGAAAAATTAACACGAGGAGGACTGAGGGTCCATTGGAAAAAACAAAGAGCCTGGAAAATTTGCCTTTTTAGGCTCGCACAAAGCGCCCGTCGAGGTATTTGAACTACCGAGTTAGGGCCTTAATTACACGGCGCGAAAATATTCAAAACACGCCAGGAAGCACGTAGCGGGCTGAGTGAGGATAAGAGGGATTAGGGGATTAACAAAGAGGGAAAGGAAGCTGGAGGGTCTGCCAGGAGGAATCTCCCGGCTCGGAAAAGCGTGGACAGCAGTCTTTTTCTTCATTTTATTTCGTTTGGTAAGTATAAAAAAGTAGCCTTTTGTTATCCTCGTAAGCGTAGCCAAGTCAACTTCTAACGAAATCCCGTTCGCTCCGCTGCGAAACGCGACGCGAGATAATTTATTTCATTTCGCGCGCCAAAAGAATCCCCGTGTTGTGAAATCACTGGGAAAAAAAACACATCGGATCTAGAGTCCAGACTCTTGAAAACATTGACAAGAAAAAATACTCCTGATTCAATCAGATTTTTGCTTAAATCAAAAGGAAATCCGCTCAAATTAAGAGGCTTGGTTCTTGATTTAAGCAAAAATCAGATTGAATCAAGAGTATTAATTCTTGTTGATGTTTTTAAGAGTCTGGAATCTAGATACAATGTGTTTTTTTTCCAGTGATGTATGCATTCAGATTTTCAAAATGAGCTACCAGACAGGGTTCAATGTAGAGTACCTATATACTGGAGAATAATGCCATCTCAATCCTTTTTCTACAGAGAAGGTCTCGATACACGATCAAATTCCCGAACCAATTACCATCAAAATGTCGGGAGTCATCAGTCTTAAAATCATTAATTTGCTTGATTTTAAAATGAAAACTTGGCAGAAATGTTTCCTGTGGCAGGAAATGATGAATGGTGGCACTCCATTCTGATCAAAATTTTAAGCCCTGGATAGACGATCAAATTCCGAACCAATTCCGATCAAAGTAGACATGCTGATGACTGATGGTCACCATCTACCATCAAATTTTGACGGTCCGCACCAATTTGTTCTAAATAAAATCAGAATGGAGTGCCATCATTTATCATTTTCTGCCTCAGGAAACATTTCTGCCAAGTGTTCATTTTAAAATGAAGCAAATTAATGAGTTTAAGACTGATGACTCCCGACACTTTGATGCTACTTTGATCGGAATTGGTTCGGGAATTTGATCGTCTATCCAGGGCTTATATACTGGAGAATATTGTCATCTCAATCCTTTTTCTACAGAAAAGGTCTCGATACACGATCAAATTCCCGAACCAATTGCCATCAAAATGTCGGGAGTCATCAGTCTTAAAATCATTAATTTGCTTAATTTCAAAATGAAAACTTGGCAGAAATATTTCCTGCGGCAGGATATGATGAATGGTGGCACTCCATTCTGATCAAAATTTTACGGCCCGTCCAATTTCGATCGAAGAGGAATGTTGCATGGTGACCATCAATCATCAAAAGGTCCTACTTTGATCAGAATTGGTTCGGAATTTGATCGTGTATCCAGGCCTAAAAATTGCGCCGCTCTCTGATTAGTCGGATATCATGAAGCCCCAAAGTTGGCCCAATTTCAACATAACCCAGCCCCTCCCCTCCTAGTTTGACCCAATGCAAACAAACAAGATGGCGACAAAGTTTTCTAAAGGTCTAGACGTGATTTAGGATGTGATGGAATGTTTTTATATCCAATTTCTGAATTGAGTTCGGATCGAACTTCGATAGATATTTTTGCCGAAAACTGACCTTCGAGTGCGATTATCATTCATTTCTCAGCCGATAATACTCGTTCCTCCGGGTCGGGTTTGTTTACATTGGGCCAACTTTAGAGCTTCATGATAGCATAAAACTGATGAACCAATCAGAGAGCGGCACAGAGATGGCAATACTCTCCCGTATATAGGTACTTCATTTCAATGTGTCTGTCAGAAACTTTAGAGTACCTATATTGAGAGAGTATGGCCACGGGCCCCATGGAGAGGCTTAGGACCCAAAAATGGCGGTTCTTTGTTTTGGTTTTTGTGGATGGGAGGGGGGTCATTGCCAAATTTTGACGGTTATCACCAACCGCTTTTGCTGCCAACCTCACTACATCTAAGATAATTTTTCTCAAAAATTGCACACGATTAGCCTTAAAAATATGTAAAGATGTCGCAATAGTGCATTTGAGTAAATTTCTCGTTAAGATAAGCAAAGGAAACTACATTTTGAGTCGTTTTGCATTACATTAATTTATGGCTTCCGCCATTTTTGGGTCCTAAAGGCTGCATCCAGCCTAAGATGGCTGAGCCAATCAGAGGTGGTAACCCCAGTGGCCATACTCTCTCAATATAGGTACTCTAAGAAACTTTAGCCACAGCGAAAAGAAATTATTTCTGATGAAATGGCTCAAAAATCACGATGAGCTCATCGAGAAAGTTTGAGATACACTTTTGACTTCATAATCTACGTAAAACATATGCGTTATCTTAAGCTTACCGCCTCAAAAACGATGATACAGCACAGGTGAACGTTACGTGGGAGGAGTCGTTCCATCCAACTCCTGTGCACTATGCTACACAATATTCAAAATGGCCGACGCTATCCCGCCAAAACGCACGTGACGAAACGGGATTTTAGCAAATGGCGTGTATATATTTACATTTTTTTTTTGCGTTGATAAAGATCATGATGTTTCCTCACGATTTGCGCGTGGAAGCGTCAGCCATGTTTAATATTATGTAGCCATCGTAGTGGGTAAGGGTTGTATGGAACAACTCCCTTCAGGAAAAGCTCCTTTATGCCGTAGTGTCATTTTTGAAGCGAGAAGTTTAAAAAACGTACATTTTTGACGCAGATTGTGAAGTTAGGAGTGTATTTTAGACTTTCCGGATGCGTTCGATTTTTGAATTTTGAACCATTTGCTGGGGCCTAATTTTACTCTAGTTGAAATTTACAACAGGCTCATTAAGGTGGGCTCCAAGTAATCAGGAGGGCCATTCGCTAATCGATCTATCGATCGATTGATAATTTCAATTTAAATTTTAGGACGTTCCTCCAGAATTTCCGTGCATCGCATCACGCTGCAAAATGTCAGGCACCTGTAAACAAATGTGACCAAAAAAACTTCGAAGTAACTCAGAACTTTGTTTTGCCTCTCGATTTTGCCTTGCCATTTTTGGCAGTCTTTGTTTTTCACAAACATGGGTTGTTTTTTCCAAAGAATGGCCAGGTGCACCTGTTACTCTCTCATTCTCAGCACTTTGTGTGATGAAAATACATAAGTGCAACAGAGGCAAATCGACGGTGTAAGTCGGCAATCACACAACTCGTTTGCGGTGTCTGAAAATCTCCGCCTCTATGGTATTTTTTAAAAGGTGAACAAACTGACATCATTTCTTGAAGTTTATGCAGAATTTTCTTCTCACAGAGAAGAAAAATCATGGCAGTTTTAAGGAATTGCCGTTGAGTAATGTTCCGTTTAAAAAATAAAGTATGACAGGGAGTCTGCGACGTCGCAAACCGAGTTATGTGATTGCCGACTTACACCGTCGAAATATCAAGTTGGCTCTTCTAAAGCCCACCTCAAAGGGCTCAATCCCTCCAAAAGACCCGGGCACTTTGATTGAGTCGTCCCAATCGAAACCCCCCGAAAAGCGCCGGGTCGAAGGTTCGACAACCCCGCGGGAAACAGACGCACAAACAGTCGCAATCCAATATAAAACTTGAGGAACAAGCGTCGAAGTTAAAGCGAACACGTTCCGCGCTCCGGCGGGCGGGCAGGCGGGCGCCGGGCCGCGGTGCGCCGGCCCGGACCCGCGACCGGCGCGCTGCCGCCCCGGCCGGGCGGGCGCCCCAGTCGATGCGAGCGGCCGCCGGGCGTCGGGAGTGCGTGTCTTCCTAGTGCAGAGCCGCTTGAATGGCCTCCGCGTGATCCCAAAATGCAGCCCGCGCCTTCATTCGGATAGAAACGCAACCCGCGATACGCGCAGCGCCTTCGCTCGGATAAATGCAACCCGCACCACGCGCCGCGCCTTCATTCGGATAAATGCCGCCCGCCGCACGCGGGTGATACAGTGATGGGGTGGCTCTCCGCGTGGCTCGTGTTGTGCGCGATCGAGGTGACCCGCGGCTTCGTCCTCGACGGATCGCCGACCTCCTACGCGCGCTTTCGGAAGTGGAACGCCGGGCTGAACGGCTCCCTGGAGTTCGAGTTCAAAACCGACCAGGCCAACGGGCTGCTCCTGTACACGGACGATGGCGGGATGTACGACTTCTTCGAGATCAAGCTCGTCGAGGGGGCGCTCAGGCTCCGGTACAACCTCGGCGGCGGCGCCCAGATCGTGACGATCGGCCGGGACCTCAACGACGGGCATTGGCATAAGGTGCAAGTGCGTAGGCGCAACGAACGGACTACGTTGAGGGTGGACGGCGAGGAGCAGACGAGGGTCTCGCGAGGCAGGGAGTTTCAGTTCGGGCGGTTGCAGAGCAATTCGGATGTGTACATCGGAGGGATCCCAGCGTGGTATTACACCAAGTTGACCCTCTTGGCACTGCCCAGTGTGATATTCGAACCCCGTTTCCGGGTGGCGGTCAGGAATGTCGTCTATGCTGACCAGTCGTCGCCGGTGCCTAGGCGCCAGGAGTTCAACCAGGAGGTCTATCACTTGGTGAGTAGCCAAATGCCATCCGTGAAGTTGGAGTAAACTGACGCACTGAACAAAAACACTTTGGATCTAGAGTCCAGACTCTTAAAAACATCGACAAGAAAAAATACATATCGACGGTGAAACTACCAAACCACGTATCTCGTATGCGGTGTTTAAAAATCTACGCTCGCATTTTATTTTTTTGAAGTAGACCAAATCAATATCATTCCTTGAAATTTTCGCAGAATTTTCTCCGCGCGAAGAGGAAAAATCACAGAAATTTTCAAGACTGGACGTTAATAGTTTTTCATATAAAAAATTAAAGTATGACAGGAAGTCTGCGACGTCGCAAACCGAGATACGTGGTTTGGTAGTTTCACCGTCGATATACTATTGATTCAATCAGATTTAATCTTAAATCAAGAACCAAGCCTCTTAATTCGAGCGGATTTCCATTTGATTTAAGCTTAAATGTGATTGAATCAAGAGTCCTTTTTCTTGTCAATGTTTTCAAGAGTCTGGACTCTAGATACAATGTGCTTTTTTTTTTCCAGTGAGTGCTAAGGAAAAACGCCGTATGAGCCTCCAGGCGTTGCCAAATTCCTCCTGGTAAATCACCAATTTTCAGGAATTTTCTTTAATATTTGTCTAATAATCTTTCAGATAATTTTACTTGTAATTTGATCCAAAACTTCTGAAAATTTCAAGGAAAAATATTCATGGTTTTCCTTAAACATGAACATTTTATCTAAGGAAATTTGGCAAGTTTCGAATGTTCATACGGCGTTCTTCTTCAGCACGGCAGTAAAGCCGTGTGGGCACGGTCATAATTCAGTGGATCGCGTTTAGCAGAAAGGAATCAAGCCACATCAGCCAATGCCAATGGGGCAATTTAATGTTTTACATGAAAACGGTTAAGCAAATTTGTGTGAATTTTCTGCCCAGCGTGAAGCTAATTCCTTAAAAATTTCAAAGGAATCCGCACAAACGTTCTGTCTCAGTAAATCGTTTAATAACCAAACAATGGTCAACATCTTCACCCATTTCGAAGAGCTCTTTTTGGTTGTTTCAAGACGACGCAGGTTTAAGGAAAAGAAATACGGGAGGTTTAAATAGGTTTCAATGTTAGTGGATCAGCAGAGAAGAAGAGTAGTCGAAGGAGGAAAGGGAATTATTCAGCCCCTACATACTTTTTTTCCTACCAAAATCACAAAATTTACAAACCGGGTTTCCCGTTCAAAAAAGAGTTATACGAACATTTTGACACCAAAAATGCCCGAGAATTTCAAACCAAACCTAAATTATGACGATCCTCAGTTTTTAAATAGAAAATATAGTTTTAAGGTGAAGCTATTTAAAATTCTAATCCGTCATTCTGAGGGCTCACAACTTTCAAATTACGATGCTAATTTATGCCTTTCATGCCTAAAAAATGAAGGAAACCGCCCTCAAGTTATTCGTTGCGATATTAAAGAGTTTTTCCGTCGTAAACTCCAAGTCCGTAAAAGCCATGTATCTCATGATGCCTTGTCAAAACCCCACCATAAACATCCCAATTTACACGCTGTGAAACCTTCAAAAGGAAGGGAAATGATTAAGAGAAGGCTCAGAAAAACAGCTCTTTGCTCGGAGGGAAATTTATTTTCCATCTTAGGTCAAGAGGCCTGCCGCCTGCAGTCGTTGTTTCAGTGTATATTAATCTTTTTCAAACTTATACATACGAAGTGTAAAGTAAAAACGGCGCACAGTAGAACGTGCTTGTAGAAGAGGTTTGACACGAATTTTTTGGCTAAAATTTCAAATTTTGATGTTGCACCGAAAAAAAAGAAGTGCTGTTAGGGCCGGATTTACCTACCTGCCGCCCATGAGCCGCTAGTATTTTGCCGCCCCCTTCTCATTCGTTTTGAAACATCAATGAAAACCATCACATGAACGTGCCATCGGGAGAAGGGTGCATAAGACGCGTTTACCGGTGTTGAACAAATTTTTTGGGAAAGCCCTGTCAACACTACTAGCCAAAGTTCACGGAACTTTGCGCGAAAGTTGAGTTTCGTAAACCTATCTCTGTGTGGACAAGGCCTTCCATTCATAAGAAATGAACGAAAAAATTATTAAAGAACAAACATAAATGTGGATTAATGATTTTAACTTCCGCCGCCGTGCCTCGCAGACCGCACTGTGTTTTTCGCAATGCGTGAAGTATTCACGCAGTCTTGTAGGCGCTATTCGTCTCACGCTGATCGCACTGTGTTTGCCGCAATGCGTGAGGTATTCATGCATTCTTGTAAGCGCTATCCGTTTCACGCTGTCCGCAATGACCGCGCTGTGTTTGATGCAATGCGTGAAGTATTCGTGCAGTCTTGTAGGCGCTAATATGTGTTACATGCCGATCGCCGCTAAGTCTGCTACGTCACAAACGGAGATACGAGACCAAAAAATGATGAAGTCATAAAATCGGTAAATATTAAGGATTCGTCAAATCGATAAAACGAACACGGCAAAGAAAAGTTCAATCATCCTCAGGAGAAAAGAGCCAGCTTTGTGCCCATGTCAAACTTAGGCGTCAACAATTTTGTAGGTTATTTGGGTTTTTTTTGTTTCAGAATAAGTATTTGAACCGTGTTTAGCAGAAAAGAACCAAGCCATATCAGCTATTGCCAAATTTAACCGGGCAATTTAATTTTTTACGAGAGAACATTAGTGCGCATTCCTTTGAAAATTTTAAGGAATTTGCATCGCACTATGCTAGAAGTTTGCTGAAATTTGCACAAAATCAGCACAACCGTTTTCATGTTAAAAATTTAATTGCCCAATTGAATTTGGAATAGCTGATATGGCTTGCGGTTCCTTTCTCCTTAGCGCGATCCATTTTTAAATCGTTTGATAGGATTTATTTCTGATTCATATATTTGCAATCAACACAGACGGTGCCTCGGCAAAATTTTTCCGTTATTTGTGCCGAAAAAAAAGTTCCGTTATTTACCCTTGTTACCCTTGGCATTTACTGCTCCTACTGCTAACAAAAGCGCCTCGGTTGTCTGCTCCGGAGAATGCGGAGGCAGAAACCAGATGCGACGATCCTGTTCTGTCGTGCTAAAAAGAAACGCAGTATGAGACTTCAGGCATTGTTACCAAATTTTCTTTGACAAAGCACAAATTTTCGGAAGATTTTGTAACTATTTTTCTTCCGCTTTTTTAGAGAATTTTGTACGGCGTCTTATTTGAGGAGTCCGAAAATTTTGAGGAAAAATATTCAAAAGTTTCCTCAAAAATTCATTTTTTCCGAGAAGAAATTTGGCAAGTCTCATCTGTTCATATTACGTTCTCCCCAACTGCCGTGCTAAGGAAGAACGTCGTATGAACCTTCAGGTGTTGCCAAATTTCCTTTGATGATTCGTGAATTTACCAGTAAACTTATGAATATTTCTCTTCTAATTTTCCAGATAATTTTGATCACAATTTCACCTTAAATTCCTGGAAATGGAGATGTTGCATGGGTGAGGGATTTGCGATCTGTACCATTTATACTTATGTAAAAGTTCGCGAGAATCACGATGGTGCCACTGGTTTTCTCTGAAATCATCTCCCAAGCTCAAAAAAGCACTCAAAGTGAGGCCAAAATGGAGGGGATATCCCACGCTATCCTGAGAGTCCACCTCTACATCAAAACAAACTCTCCATGCAAAGATAGGGAGCAAATTATGTACATTGACAGGGCTGCCACTTTATTTGGGGACTCCAAAACTGAAAACACGGCATCACTGCTAATGTATTTGCTCCCTATGTTTGCATGGAGAGTTTGTTTTGATGTAGAGGTGAACTCTCAGGATAGCGTGAGATATCCCCTCCGTTTTGGCCTCAATTTAAGAGTTTTTTCTGAGCTTGGGAGTTAATTTCAGAGAAAACCAGTGGCACCGACGTGTTCCTCGCGAACTTTTACATGAGAATCAATAGTTAAATTGCAAATTCCTCACACATGCAACATCTCCATTTTGATCGCAATTTCACCTTAAATTCCAGGAAATTTCAAGAAAAAATTTTCATAATTTTCCTCAAGAATAAACATTTTATGCAAGGAAATTTGACAACACTCGAATGTTCGCACGGCGTTTTTCCTCAGCACGGCAGAGCTGGTGGCCGTGCGACCGGGACTGCGATGCATGTCTGCACGGCTTATCCGGGAACATCGCCACGACAATCATCCTTTATGAACATTCGAGAGTTGTCAAATTTCCTTGAATAAAACGTTTATTCTTGAGGAAAGTTATGAAAAATTTTCCTTGAAATTTCCAGGAATTTAAGGTTAAATTGCGATCAAAATTATCTGGAAAATTAGAAGAGAAATATTGATAAGTTTACTGGGAAATCCACGTTTGATCAAAGGAAATTTGACAACGCCTGAAGGTTCGTACGACGTTCTTCCCTAGCGCGGCAGTTAGGGAGAACGTCATATGAACATTTGAGAGCTGCCAAATTTCTTCTCGGGAAAAATGAATTTTTGAGGAAACTTTTGAATATTTGGACCGCGTGAAGCAGAAAGGAACCAAGCCACATCAGCTATTGTCAAATTTAACCAGACAATTTAATTTTTTCCATGAAAACGGTTGTGCGGATTTTCGTGCAAATTTCAGTGCATTTTCTACATAGTACAAAGCAATTCCCTGAAATTTTCAAAGGAATCCGCACAAACCTTCTTTTGTAAAAAATTAAATTGCCTCGTTAAATTTGGCAATAGCTGATGTGGCTTGGTTCCTTTCTGTTAAACTCGGTCCATTTTTCCTCGAAATATCGGACCCCTCAGATAAAACTATGTACAACATTCTCTGAAAAAGCGGAAGAAAAATAGTTGCAAAATTTTCCGAAAATTTGAGATTTGTCAAAGAAAATTTGGCAACAATGTCTGAACTTGACAGGAAATTTGACAACTCTCGAATGTTCATACGGTGCTCTTCCTCAGCACGGCAGTGCTGGTGGCCGCGCGACCGGGACTGCGATGCATTTCTGCACGACTTATCCTGGAA